ACTAATTAAATATTCTGAATTAAAATGATTATTCAAATAGGTTGGACTGCAGTGATTTATGATGGGGTGTAGTTATGTTGTTTATAAACACACGAAACATGGTCCAGAACACAGAGAATATTGAACCTGATATTTTATTCATCTATAACTGATCCACCTCGGTCAATGTTTTCTGATCAAGTAATGTACCTACAATAAATAAACTAAAAAAATATTCAAAAAACACAGATAGCGGCAATAATGGTAATATACAAGGTGCCCTGGGCGGAACTCTCTACCAACTTGTTCCGGTATTATTAAAAGGTATTATTGTCTTGTTTTTGGCCATAGACAAGTCAAAATATAATATTCAAAAATTTAAACACTCAAAAGTTGCTCGTATAGCCGCATTTTTTAAAATTAAAGAATGGCTTGTTATAAAGATATGCAATTTGGTATATGGCCTACTAGTTCAAGAAAAAATATTATCCTACCCTATACTCTTACATGAGCAATATTTGCTTGTATGCTTGCTTACACAAAGATCTTGAAAACTGCTTGAAGTATTTAATTCAAATGTTGTAAATAATTTATTTCTGTCCTAAAAACATGTTAATTGCAGTTAAAACTGACAATAAAAATCTAATTACGTAAAAAATTGAATTATAAGTCGATTCTTTTACATCGGCCTTGGGTTACTAAGTAACCATGTTGGTTGAACAAGGAATAAACGGTATCAGCAATCTGAGACATAATTTCTCCCATAAGCTTGTCAACAACCTTTATCATAAGTAAGCAGTGGGAGTAACTAGCCTATGCTAATTTTGTAGGAAAAAATCACAAAAGTTGAAATAACTTTTAAACCGTAATTGTTACAGCAATCATTATTGCATTGTTGCATTTTTTTGTTTAGAATTATAAAGACCAAAACACATTATTTTATTAAAAAGAGGTTTTGTTCAAAATCCGATTTTTTTTATTTTATGGGATATATTTTGATGGGGAAATTACAATAAAAAATCAAAATTTTGAACAAATGAAAAAACTCATGGAGATACCACGGATTAGAACCTCCAAACCAAATTTCATCAAAATCGGACTACAGGTGTTGTATGTAGCTCTGTACATATCCACACTCTCTCACACACACAGACATCGAAACCCACTTTTTGGGTTCAGGGTGACCCAAAACAGATATATCCACTCAAACTCAAACTAGAAAATTTCGATGAAAACAATACTTTCTCCATACAATAGAGGAGAACGTATACAGCTGTGTATACACAGGGGATAGGGTCCCCGTGAATTTGCCATTGTGCCACGCCGACAAGTGCCCCACTAGAGACAAAAAAAGAAAATAAGATTATAACTGAACTGGAGTCACTACTCTCTCGCTTGTTAAACATTTAAGAAAAGCGTGTCATCAAGATGGCCGCTTTTTGCTGTAATTTGTTTGTCACACTGTCTTTGCGTTTGGTTGGACTCATCAAATAACCCCATCTGATTAGATCAAATTTGACAGCTATACAGCCAACCATTCAAACGGCCAACATAACAACACGAAACAGAGAAAAAAACAGCAAAACAGTTACACGCTTTTTTAAACACTGAGTGGTGACCATATGGCCATATGATTGATTGGTTGTATAGCTGTCAAATTTGATCCAATTAGATGGAGGGTTATAATTATTATAATTATTTTATTACTATAATCTGTTCATCTCTATAGCCACCATGAAAACACGCAACCACCAGTCCGACAACACATAATTAATGTTTTTAGGTGGTGGTTGGGTGCCAATGTTGTTCAGGATTACCGCAAGTTAGTGTCATCAAAGCCCTGTCCTGTTTGCCTTATACATCTCAGACATCAATAATGAATTACCTTCCAATGTCAAGTCATTACAATAATGCTGACGACATAGTGATATACAGCTCCAATAAGAATCTTAACACCACTAACACAAAAATCTAGAATTCACTCGATAAACTTGGAAAATATTTTTTAGGACTACTTTTAGGTCCAAACATTGAAGTAGGATTGCATTAGTTAATCCAAAAAAAGCAAAGAAATTTGTTTTGAAAGAAGTAAAAATTACAAAAAACAATAGCAACACAGTAAATCTATGGATCTAAAATGAAATTATACATGTGGAAGATCACGTTAAACTGCTAGTCATCACAATAGCTAGAAAACTAACATTCAAAGAGGACATCAACAACATCCAACATCAAACTTTAAAAGACTTTTAACATACTCAAAATAATAAAGTGGTGCACAATAACAATAACTAAGGTGCACAAACACGCTACGTCTTAGATATGTACCAAAGCCTTTAGACCAAAACTGGAATATATGCAAGCTTATATATATATTCAGTCAGAACATATTCGGTCATGCAGCCAATTTTACACAGAAAAAGTGGAAAAAAAACTAGAAATGATGATATCAGGCTTTACAAATATCAATATATGTGCTCATAAAACCACGCCTATCATTGCCTTAAGCTAGGCGCCCACCGACCAACCCAGTGGGTGACGCGGCGCTGCACGACACGGAGTAAAAAATCCATCCGCTTCTCCAGGGGCCGCGCCCACCAAGCAACTCATCTAGCGGAAGCGCGGGGCGGCACGGAGAATTAATTATTCTTGTGGAGGGGATGCACAATGCACTTCCATTCGGAACCGAATACACCCAAAGGGCTCACGATATTTTCCGAAAACACCCGAATGAGCGCCAGACGGAGGGACAGACGCCGTTCCGCGCCTCCACTCGGGACCCACCAGGCAACTCAACGGAGGTTTGGCAATACGATGAGGGGAAGAACTTCTCCACTGAATTCTCACTGCCGGATTCGAGGAGAAGTTTCTTTTCCGCGCCACGTTGTGCCACCTGCTGGGTTGCTAGGGGGCGTCAGTCCATAAGAGAACATGGCACGGATACGTGGCAACCTTTTTCCACCGCGTCACCCACTGGGTTGCCTGATAGGCGCCTAGCTTTACACTCAGAAACAAGCTATTTGCCACTTACCGTTAGAAGAATAATGGATAGGTACTGAAAGGATTATCTACAAAATTCATACAAATGGTGACCATCCTGCCTACTTCAACCTACTCTCTCTGCATGCAACAAATATGAACAAAAAGTATTGGGCTCGCAATAACTGGCAAAATAAGTTTCAAAAATGGGCTATAAGAACAATTTTTTCCTTACCCAAACGCCAATCATGCAGAAAAGTTTTCTCAGATTCTAAAATTCTAACTCTTCCATCGATCTACATTCTTGAAACCCTCATCTTTGTCAAACAAAATCTTTCCCTATTCACTGAGTCAGAAAACCCCCGTATTCACACATATTCACTCCGAAATTCTCACAATTTACCAATCCCTAAACATATTACATCTTTTTTTAAAAAAAAACTGCCTTTACAATGGAATTAATTTGTATAATAGCCTCCCCCTTTCTTTAAAATTAGAATCAGACCACTCAAAATTCAAACGATGCCTAAAACAACATTTGCTTAAAATCTCGTGTTATAGCATCCAGGAGTTCTTGAACCACAGGAATTGGACTGTTGTAAACCCTGGTGTGTTGAGTAAGATGATGTATATATAATTAGTATTAAATATTGTTGTAAATACCTTAATCTTATCATTAGCTTAAAACGAAGAAGGAAAGCTGTATTATTTATGTTTGACTTAGCTAATGCAATGTATTGTCAACTTAGCTGAATAAAATGATTTGATTTGATTTGATTTGATTTGGCCTCTGTACATTAATTAGTATTGCAAATGCAATAATAACAAACATAATACCTAATATTCATGGCACTTCTAGAATTATAAACGAATATGACAAAACCAATTTCTATGAAAAAAGATAAGATTCGATGTAAAACAACCTATGATAAAACTTAAACAAAAACAAAAATGAGGAGAATGATCGCCTAAAATAACAACATTTTAATACGTCGAACTTAACCTATAGCAATTCTTTTAAATACCGGTATTTACAGATTGATCAAAAACGACAACCACATCAGGCGAAGCCTTTCTACGGGGATGCGGAATACTATCCCCCAGAAAACTACCCCCCCAGGTGAAACGTGACGTCACAAAATCTGCCAACTAACCAATATGAAAGCCGTGTGCGTGACTGGAATACTACCCCCCTATACAAATCATGCTATGTAATTTTAATTTGAGTAATTCCATTGGATAATAGAAAAGTCATGTGGTGAATATAAAACAGAATTTCGAAAGAAATGTTACAGCAAGTTTGATTGGTTAGATTAGAACTGTTTGACAACTAAATTTGAGTGTCCGTGACTAGAAAACTGCCCCGCCTCCGGTCTCTGACGTCAATATGACGTAGGAACCTGTTTGGGGGGGGGTATTTTTCCGGGGGGGGGGGCAGTCTTCCGGCGACCCCTTTCTACATGCCGCATCTACTCACGAGCTGTACAAATTAAAAACTAACCTTGCAGCTGCCCTAAGCTCAAAAAACGACAAAATTTACAAGGAAACAAACATATATTTGATATAAGTAAGAGACTTTAAAGAAACAAGAAACCTTCCGAAATCCGATTGTACATTTATAACTTGTGATATTTGTGTTGTTCATTCTTTGGATTCTTCATCCGTAGCCCCTCCCCCTTTCTGGGTTAGGCAAGCCTTACGGGCCCCAGGCGAAGAAGATATTTCTCTCTCTTCCTAAAATCCCACGAACCCTAGAGTTCCTATCTGTTTTAAACATCTGTAAAAAACAACACCTAGAAAAGGGGGGGGGGAAATAACACTATCAAAATCACGGCCGCCTTTAACAAAATAAACGAAGCGACCATATTTAGCGTACTTCGAGGCTGCATGGATTATTAAAAAGCCATAGCCTAGCCATCGACAAAAAACCTATCCTAAATTCAAGTGCACTGCAAGTGTCAAGTCAAGTGTCAGTGTCACAACCACAACACTACTCAAACTCAACTCACTCTCTCTAGTCCCTACATTAGTACATTACTCTACTCTACTACTCTTTCTCTTTGTTGATGTGACTGATAAAATAGGGCAGCAGGGAGGGAAGGAAGTTTGATAAGGATAATTGTGATAATATTATTACGTATTATTTTAACTTGTTCGCTTTGTTTAATTGTAACAAATTTGGACATTTCGAATTAAATGGCTCCAATTCAAAGTGAAGGCTTGAAGAATTCCAAATTGACAGTCAAACGTAAGTTGCCTTTAGCCTAACTTATTTAGCCCAGGCCTAAGTAGCACAGAAAACATACTACTAAGCACAGAAATCAGTGCTAAGTAGGGACTGAGGCTAGGATTGCATTAGTCTCGACAGTAAGGTTGACAGACTAGACTAATAAATTATTTACCTCAGTTGAATTAATGTGTGCCTAAGTTAAGGTTTAGAACATGCTTTGGCCCAAAAGTATGCCTCAGCTTGGTGATGTGATGTTCAGCCGAATGCTTTAAGTTATCAATGAAGTGTAAGTATGCACATTGCACAGGTTGTTTGAGTCAGGTTAACTTAGTTTGCTATCATGGTTCATTGCTCCCAGCACAGTAACCAAACAGTAATTAACATTACAATTCACCGCTCACACAATCTGTGTGACGCTTAATACGTTCGCGGCTGACCACTAGATGCCGGGACGGCGTCAGGAGCTGAACTAACGCTCGCCGCTGCGTAAACATTGCTGCCGATACACTGAATTACAGTAAAAACATCAGTAAGTTGTACTGGATGGCAACGTTCTGCAATAAAACTGGCTTTGGACATAATAGCCTACTAAGTGATTCTGATAGATAGCAGCACTACCCAGGTCGCAGTCGGTAAGGTAGGCCTACAGTAGTGTAGCAATCTAGCAGGAAAGAGGTGGGACAAAGTCCTGTGCCAAACGACCCTGGTGGTGATTTTGGGAAAAACTATATTTTTTACTGTCAGAAAAGTACGTCCCCACAAGCTGCAAAGAAATATAGGACGCTCGTGACGAGCTGGCTTTTCCATGGTAACATTAAACATCAATGAACGGCGACGTTCTGGAACATTCCTAGCTCCTGGCGTCGTAGCCCGTTTGACGTTTCGGAACGTCCGTAGCAGCGAACGTGTTAAAAGAATAGGCTAACTTACTGGTAGGTCTACTGGTTGCTGTCATTGTCAGGCCATGTTGCTATTAGGCCTGTACTTCATTACAGTTCTACACTTATGCCCACCTCCCCCCTAGAAGCGCCACTAAGTCACCCTAGCCTTACATTTCTGATTTCTTTTTACTTATTCTGTAAATGTTTACAAATCCTTGACTATCTTAATTTATTCTTTCCTGCATAGGTCTCTGGAGCAAACTAGTGAAACCTAAAGAAAAGATTAAAATAGATAAACCCGATGATGACCTGGTACTGGATTCTGTGCCTGATTATGCCTGTAATGACAAAACCGAAAAGGAGACTGATGAAAACTCCTCTACTCGGAGTGAAACTAGTAAAAGTGAACAAACAATTCCTGATACTGATGGAGGATTCACAAAAGATGAAGAAATCCCACAAGAAGGGGAAGAAGAAAAAATACAAGAACCAAGGAGGACAAGACAAAAGAAGCCCAAAAATTCAGATTCCCCAACACAGATAGTCTGTAAGTAAATCTACTACTGTATTATTAATAGCAATATACACTCATTCAATTCCTTGTAAAAAGTATTGGTCCTGGTACCCACCCAATTCATTGGAATTAACAGAGTCAAAGAATCAAATTAACTTTGGAGAAAAGTTAGGACAGTAAAGAAAAAAATAATAGGAAAGCTCCTATGACTTTTAAGGTCTGAAATATTAAACTCAACAGTAGGCTAACGTTACCAAACTTGAACTTAATTATATTTGTGAGTGTAGTGTAACACAATGAACTGACTAAACGCATGTAGGCCCCGGACAGCAACCGATGAATCATGCTTAGAAACTGCACAGTACTAGGCTAGGGGTACATTGGTTGACCATTGCTGACTGTGAGATAGATTTTTAGGCCTGACTAACAGCCAAAATCAGTCTAAGGCCTTGTCTCTCCCGACAAAAGACGTTTGTTAAAGACTCGTCTGCTAATTATGAGGAGTTCTCCTGTAGCCTATGTGGTGGGTTTTGGAGGGAAAAGCGCACCTAAAATAATTGGTGGACAGCTCGGGTGGTACCGATAGTTAATATGATGAGTGGATTCATTAAGCAACTCAAATGAATGACTATTAAAAACTTGCATAGCCTATAGATGGTTTGAACTTATGTGTTTATAAGATGATGATGAAACCATAGGGGTCATTCCATGTCAAATCAACCAATAAAAAAATAATTTCAGAACTTAAGGTTTTCAAAATGGGCAATTTTTTGTAATTTTGTTCTATACCTCAAAGTAATAGAAAATACAAAATTTTAGATTTTTTTTGACTTTTTGTTTCTGAGTTATAAATTTTTTTAAATATAAAAATTGGCCGATTTTTGACGCGTTTGGAAATCTTTAAATGCCTCTAACTAGGCCTACAAAACCATTCAACTTAGAGAGTTCAAACTTGCACCATTCTCTTTAGAATTTCAAGAGCTACAATTTGATATGTCACTTGACTATATTAGCATAGTAATAACAAATTTCCAAAATCCAAAAAAAGTTTTTTTGAAAAATCTTAAAATCGAAATGTTTAATTTTTTTGGTGAAAAAATATGTTTTTTGTACTTCTTATTAGAGTGCATGTGCCAAATTTCATTATGGTACTCCTATGGGATCATATTAAAAAAAAAATACTACTGTGTAGTTAAACAGGTAAAATGAACACTAAGTTTTTATTGACTATAGATAGATGCATGACGTATCATAGTACTGTAATCTTAATAGGTTATTTGAGCAAAGAAAAATTTATTGTGAAAATACACAATTAGGCCTATAAAGTAAGATCTGTATTATAGTGCAGTAAAATAAACTATAATAATGATACTAATAAAATAATAACTACATTGAATACATTTTACCAATCAGTATGCTATAGGCTATAGGCCTATGCCTGCCATTGTATTTCGTAGCAAATGATTCATAAAAAAGTCATTGATATGACATAAAAATTATATCTGATACTGAAAAGTCAGATCATACAAGTTGCTCCAGATGCTTTAACGATGTACCATTTGAAGAAATAAATGGATTTATTGCTTGTGCATATGACAGAAAATGTTGGATAGCTTGTGTTTTGTCTAAAAACCACTCTGAAAAAGAACATGCTAAGTTATACCATTTCTCCATCCTCATGGACCACCTCCTTCTTTTGCATATCCCAGAAGACCAGATGTATTAACAGTGCCACATAACTTTATTAATGCACTGTTAATCCAACCACGCCAACTGGTAGGACATACAAATTATCTGCCGACAAGATGTCCAAAGCTTACCAAATGTTATCAAAGAAGAAGCAAGCATTATATGCATAAAACCATTACATCCTGGTTTCAAGACAGTGGCTTGTGATCACATCAGTTTACTAGATGATAATATTTTTTATTGTAAATAAATTGAACACTGAAATATGACCATCTTAAATATATAATATTATTGTAAATATTTTATAAATAAACAACATTAAATTGGTTATTTTAAAGTGATAGCCTGAAATGAAAAAGACATTAGGCCTACTGTATTCAAAGAACATAACAATTAATTTCATGATTATAATGTGGGGGTAAGAATATCAATGACTTTTTTATGAATCATTTGCTACAAAACACAATGGCAGGCATAGGCCTATAGCTTACTGATTGGTAAAATGTATTCAATGTAGTTATTATTTTATTAGTATCATTATTACAGTTTATTTTACTGCACTATAATACAGATCTTCCTTTATAATTATGTATTTTCACAAAAAAATTTTTCTTTGCTCAAACCTATTAAGATTACAGTACTATGATACGTCATGCATCTATAGTCAATAAAAACTTAGTGTTCATTTTACCTGTTTAACTACACAGTAGTATTTTTTTTAAATATGATCCCATAGGAGTACCATAATGAAATTTGGCACATGCACTCTAATAAGAAGTACAAAAAACATATTTTTTCCCCAAAAAAATTAAACATTTCGATTTTAAGATTTTTCAAAAAAACCTTTTTTGTATTTTGGAAAATTTTTATAACTAAGCTAATATAGTCAAGTGACATATCAAATTGTAGCTCTTGAAATTCTAAAGAGAATGGTGAAAGTTTGAACCCTCTAAGTTGAATGGTTTTGTAGTTAGAGGTATTTAAAGATTTCCAAGCACGTCAAAAATCGGCCGATTTTTAGGTTTTCAAAAATGTATAACTCAGAAACAAAAAGTCAAAAAAATCTAAAACTTGGTATTTTTCATATTCTCTAATAATATAACTTATTAAAAAAAAATATCATTGAATTCTGTGATTTCAAGTTCCAGACCATTGGTTGATTTCATATGGAATGACCCATAGGTGAAACCACTAATAACAATAATAGCCCTTACAAAAGACTGAGTTATCTATGAAGCTAGATTACATTATGATTCTAGGTTAGATAGTTAACAAATTTACTTAACTTGATTAAATATAGGCCTATTTTAAGTTTTTAAATAAAATAACTCTTGAATGAATAAATGCAAACAATTTAATTGAGCGTGCATTATTCAAAGTGTCACAATTCTTTGTTTTTCAATACCCTACAACTAATTTAATCAACTTGTATTAGACATATTGAAATTAAGTTAGCGTACATTTTTGATCAAATTACTAATTATTACTACCATAAAATAAATATTTCAACCCCCTTTTTAATCTTTTTAAACATTGAAAGGTTAGCCGATTTCAGATAGGCTAAGTTTATCAAGTTTCTCTTATACAGTAGAACCTCGCTAATCCATCACCTATGGGACCAGGAGTATGGTTGGAACAGCAAAAAGGTCGGATTATCAGAGGAACAATAACAATAACAATGACATAAAAAGATCGCTTATTCTTTCTCTTTGTTCTTCTAATATTTCTTAAGTTTCTCTTCATCCACCCCTTCAACAAGGTGCCATGTGGTTACTAAACACCCAATCACAGGCTACTAAAGGCGGTTTCACACTGGCGACGGATGAAATGATTCGGATGGATGCTACGCGCCCCCTTCACATTGCGAGCTACGTTTCAAACGTCCACTCATTCGCGCATGCGCATAGGGATTGGCCATTCCTACTACAATCATAGATTAAACATACTTCCTCTTACAACTCAGTGGAGGTGTGCAAAATGTCTGAGCCTTCTGTCCCATGGTGTAAACCCGGATTTTCTGTTCCGTGGCTTGATTCAAGTAGTGATGATAGTGACGACGAGGTTGTACTTTTGTACTCATTTTCAAAAAAGAGAAAGTGGGTTCATCCGATTAACAGAAAGCAGCAGTGATTTGGTGAATCATTGTAATAATGCAAATAATCATAGTAATACAAATCATTGTAATAATGATTTACCGTACAGTAATTCGTATAAATATACATGGTTATTGGTTAGGATACTTACTATCTCTTTGGAGTGTAGTCGCAATTTCCAACCAAATTTTATCTTTCTCTTGTTGATCTCTATAAATTTCTATAGTTGTATCCCAGATAACTGGGTAGGCACGGATAGCCTCGATTAATTCAGCCATAACAAACAACAAAGGGAGGACACAAAACAACAACTAGATGAACACTATGACTGTAAACACAAACTACTAAACACGGTGATGCGAGTGACACATGCCTCGCTGAGAGCTACACGTGGTTTGGTGCTCTGTCTGCGCATGCGCGAGGGCGTGATCGTCCGCGGACGTTTTAGAAATATCGCTCCCAGAGCGATTCCGCCAAATCGTCCACGGACGAATTTCTGCATCCGCGGATGGACGCTACCTTTCAATGGGCGGTGTGAACGGTCCCATCTGATAACATGGGCAGCGATTTATTTTCGCATCCGTCCGCGGACGATTTCCTCGTCCACGGATGCCAGTGTGAAACCGCCTTAAAGTTGTCATGATTACCAAATACCCAATCACAAAATGTTGTGACATAGCAAGCGCACAGCAGACAGATGTGTAGGCCTAAGGAGCAGACGATTGTCAGTCCAAACGGATAGCTTGACCTTGAAGCTTTAATCGGTATTCCTTTGTTTTGCTTCCATTTTATTTTTGTCAAATGAACTGTGATTTTCCAAAAACAATAATGTGGGAGCCTACTTAATATTAATAATGGACAGACATGGTTAAATATACAACAAATTTCAACTCATTATACAAAAAAAAAAACACAATTTATAAAGTTTTCTGGGTATTTCTCTTGGACAATGAGGTTATGTTAGCGGAAGCCTATTGTGTTGGCAGCACGGTCGGACCAAGCAAGGAGTCGGACCATCAGAGGTCGGATTAGCGAGGTTCTACTGTAGGCCTTAAGTAGGAAAACAGTTATTGGGGAAATCACATTCTTTGTTGTGTTTCATGATAGGTAAGTTACCATACTTTATCATGTTCAAGCAAATTACTTGCTAAAAATAATGAAGCCTATCAATTGAGATTGAACTATTTTTTACAGACAATATGAATGTTTCTAATGGTAAAGTCCACATCGGAGATGAAATTGTTCAAACATACAATATTCAACAAAACTACAATGCCAGGATTCCCAAAAAGGAGGAAAAGTCATCAGAGAAGAAAAAGGTTATCAAAACTTCGCAGGTGGAAGGTAAAAATATTGTTTTATTGAAATTTCTGACTATTTCATAAAAAAAATATTTATGACAATATATTTAGTAAATATAACTTTAAGACCATATAATTTATAACACTGTGAGTTGATAGTAAGTAATATTTGTTCTTTTTAAAGTTGGTATTTTCCCTGTAAATTTATAGTTATAATTATATACGGAGGCCACCCTTATACAATACAGCACGCTGCAGTGGTTAAGTTTGGTTATCATACATTTTTATGACTCATTTGGAATCGATCGATTCATAACGAAACCAGGAAAGTCCTACAAACGTATGATAACCTAATCCAACCTAACCGCCGTAGCACGCTGTAAAATAATTTGTCCCCGTATAATAAGAAAGTACTTTTGTTTATTGTAGATCCACACTATTGAGTTATTTAACTACATTAGGCTAATTAATATACAATACAGGGTTTCAAAAAGACTCATCCGATTTTGTAGGTTTATAATTTGAGAACTTAATAATCATGTGGACATGGACTCAATTTTATATTTAAGAGTAACTAGATCCCCTCTTACCCGACCTCGTATTAACCGACAATCGGATTATCCGCCTTCGGTCGTAAAATATTACATTTTGTTTTAACCGACCTTGTATTGAGAGCAGTTTGGTTTAACCGCCGCTTTCTAGAAATCTCGGCATTTCCGCTCCCACCCTGGGCGATGAGAACCAAACCATACGCTTATCTCCACAGGAATGATTAAGAATAAGTTATTTTGTATTGATCACAAAAAATATAGCATATTATCAGTTTGTCATCATTGTTCGTAGCGCAAGCACATCTGATCTGATTTGTTATCTGTGCGCTGTGCGGCAAATTTATAAAATCAAAAGTGTGTTACGATTTTGAGAACTGATTATCTTATCGCTAGAGTAAACAAACAATGCAGTTTGTAGAGAGGGCAGGGAAGAGGGGTTGACAACTCCTAGGTCAAGATAGTTTTTTCTGCTTCTGAGTCTCCAGTGAGAGGCTATAAATAAACATCCTGTCTCGTAACAAAATGGTTGCTTGTATCTTTAATTTCGACAAAAGGTTCTGTACTGTATTACGATGGATTTGGAAAGCATCAATTAATACATTATATTACTAAATTTATCAAAATAAGAATTTTTATTCACTCTTGCCTAGTACTACTGTATAATCTATTCCACTGAAAGAAGGCCTATTTGACTTAACTGTGTTTATTTGTGATTTTTATATCAATACGAAAAAAGGAGAAAAACAGGAAATAAGACTAGTTTAATTTATAAATAATCCAAGTATGACGTCAAAATAATGATTATACAATTCCAGATGAATAGCACTTCATTATGTTATGATTTTAGGGATTGCCCGTTTTAACCGACCTTTTGAGTTAAGTACCGGTATCCGACCTAGTTTTCCCAGCCTACTTACTGTATTAAAACAATTCACTTGTAGTAGTCATGGACGAAACACTAATGTTAGTTTAGAAACATGTGGTGATCTGGAACCAATGTTTAACAGAAAACATTGGGTCCATCCCTTTATAACCGATAAACCATTTTGTGTCTCATACATTTTACATGCATAATGTTTGTTGTGTACAATGTTTCATACAGACAAGTTCTATAAACTTGTCTGTATCCAATATTGTACACATTGTAAACATTGTACACAACCGGTAAACAAACACACAAAATACCAACTCAAAAACAACTGGAAATGTCTGAAAAATAGCTCCAACCGTGTGGTTGAATTGTATTGTGTGTTGTCTCTCATAAGACCACGTTTGTCATCCCCTACAAACGCGGCTTAGCTTCGTGCAGTCAAGGGACGACATGGCGCGGCCCGACCGCCCAGGCGACTAAACTTCGCCTTGTGTGGCTACACTCATTTGATTCAATTTGTTTTCGAGCCCCACAATTTAGTGAGGCAAAACTGCCTCGTGTGGCCTTCTGAAACCTATTGATTTGAAAGATGCATTGTAAAACCAAACCGTGTGTCTCAAAACAGTATACATTTTCAAGTATGTAGAAAATTATGAATTTAATTTTATCTATCTCACAGCTGTACTTCAATCGAACGTAACTTTGGAGTCTGCCCACATAGCATATTTGTCAAACCATTTTGGAAAGAAATGGAGAGACATTGGAAAACCCCTGGAGTTTTCAAATGGTGACCTGGACATCATTGAAAACAAATGTGAAAATGATGTAAAAAAGGTTAGTCATAGATAGTGTTCAATAAAATCTTGTTAAGTTAAGTACAGTAGACTCCAGATTATCTACGATCACAGGTTGGCTGAGTCATCAGTTACAATAAAAATTGTGGATAATGCCAACCCTAAAATACCCAGGAAATTACCATAAAATACCGTACTGATTTTTAATTTACAACCTTTTCTTTTCAAACTCTGCCTGTTCAGTATAGACAGTGTAGCCTACTGTCATACCATTTTATACCACACGCCTCATTCTACGCCAAAGAAGACGCATATTACAGACTCATTTCAGGAAAAGCTGTCTAATCATATTTAACTTTGAATAATTTCGGATAAAAAACAATCCTCCTTTGAACATAAAACTATTTCGAGTTGAATAATTTGTTACTGAGAGATTTTAAAACTTTACTTTTTAAAACAGTTTTGTTTTGAATAATTCTAAAATCTCACTGTAAATTAATTAATTTTGTCTTATATTCTAAAGGTCCTAACCATTTTTAGATGTCATTTGAAATGCTGAACATATGGATGATGAGGTCTGGAGACCAAGCAACTGTGGGGAGATTGTGTACGAAGTTGTGGAACACGAAGCTCATAAATGCCAGAGAAGCTGTGAAGTTGTTGGCTGACAACTTCTCCGACTTCAACTGAACACCGCATGAGATGATATCTGACTCTAACAGATAAGGTATTAGGCTTAGTGGCGTATTCAAACTGTTTGAAAAAAAAAACATGTTTGAAGCAAATTTTAGAACTCTGAAAGAAATTAATTGATAAAGGGACAAATTTATTTTATAGGCCAATTGACAAAAGGCTTTTGATTGAATTGTTTTTGGAAGGGTAAAATTTTGCCTCTTAGGCTAAGACCACACGGGCGTTTTTCACGCAAGAACGCAGCGTGAAAAACGCAAGAAATATGGGCAGCATTAAATGTAATGATGTATGCCACACGGAGTGTGTTTTCACGCAGATTTGGCGCGTCTTTAAAATCGACCGCTGCGGGCCCGCAGAAGAATGGACTGGGGTGTATTTTTGAAGCTTGTTTTCAAGCTCTGTCCCTGGCCACACGGGCAGGAGCAACACGCAGCTTTGATCAAGTCGTCCTAGCAAGTTAAAATAAATATAAATGTATCTAATTTTGTCCAGGATAACATAAAATATTTTTGGGTCTAGCCAATTACACAGTAGACCTACACGTTTTATCTTAAACAAAGGTCGACCTTACTGGACCACTTAATAATTTGTTACTAAGGAAAGGCATTTAGTTGGACTAAAAAATTTAAAGAGACATTTATGTATTAGAATATTCAAAGATCCGATAAAAATCTTGTCATCAAAATAATTAACTTATATTATACTTATTTTTTTATACTAAATGTCAAAAAAAAATAATTTTAGTGTTGTTCTCGTATCAAAACTAATATATTATATTTATTCCTATACTAAATGTAAATATTTAAATGACAGGTTAACAAAATAAAATAATTTTAGTATTGTTTTTGTATTGAAATCAATATACCATTCATATTTCTTGTTCACTAGTCAGAAACAAGGTTACTATTCTGGCCATGAGGAAGACATATAACATAATTACGTGAATTCGTCAATCAACTGCGGGTTCCCACTGCATTTTGCCGCTCCTGGACTTCAACCGGTTTGAGAATAAGCTACATTTTACTGTGTGAAAAAACCGCACGTGTGGCATACAACAGTGGGAATTCAAGCAGCGTAAAAATAAGCTACATTTTACCGCGTGAAAAAACGCCCGTGTGGCCGTGGCCTTAAAAGAAGTGATTTACTCAAAATAGAAACTAGTAAAAAGAAACAGAACTTTGAAGGAACTTTTGTACAGAAAGTATTCTGATTAAGTATCAACAAGGAAAAATTGACCTATATTACCATTCCAAAATAATACTTAGCATTTAATTACTTGTTTTCAGTTAACCTATTTTGTAAGTGGAATAAATATAGTGCGTTATAGCATTTAAACTTTTAAAAATAAACATAAGTGTAAGTGTTATCTGTGATTTCTTTAAGTAGATGTTCTAGTTAAATCTTAGTGCCTTAAAGAAGTGAAAATAATGGTGCCTTGGAATAAAGATTTAACAGTAGTACATTCTGTCTCTTTACATACTTATACTTGGGTATTTTAGTGTTTTAATGTGTATTTTACTGTAGAATTTCTTCCAACAAGCATTTTCTAGCCTTAGGTAATTTTTTCATGTAATATTTTCACACAGTCAAAATGTTAAAATCAACTATAGATCTCACATACCACAGTAAGATAGTGTCAAGGTGTAGTATCAATGTACTGGTTGGGAAATTTATTTTGCTGCTATCAGTAATATCTAAAACAATGTACAAATTTTAAACGTATGTATGCGTTAAAGTCAACCAGCTGAAGAAAATTTTAAAGTTAGTTCCGTCATGGACTCGTTTTTGTTTACATTTGTTTCTTGTTACCTATATCAATACCGGTACTATTTTTACCAAATTAAACTATCTAAGTATAAACAATAGCTCTTCCTCTGGCTTAAACCCAAAATGTTTAGACCAAATCATAAAATAAGAGGAAAAACATTTCTTTGACACTAGCGCTCAGTGTCACCAAAATGAACTACATCAAACAAGCTTCAGATTCTACAATGGGATGAGAAGTCTACTTGTGTTATTTATTCTATGATTGATCCTTTTATTCCAAATGCTAAACTACTCAGGGCAAGTTTATAAGCTTAGCTGTCAAGTAAACATGCTTGCCTATTAATATATAGATAGATTGCAGTAAAGTAACTAATCATAAAAAAACATACTCTGGTTAGGAAATTTTTAAACATAAAAAATGAAATGCCATTAACAGAAGTTGATCTACCCCCAGACATATATAGGGTTCAAAAGGAGCAATTACAGCTTATTTTGTCGAAATTTAACATAAAATATAGGGATGAGGACCTTGTAGCCGAATTGAGACCCATTGTAGCTGACCTTAAAGCTTTTGTAAAAAATAATTGGTCTGAAGAGAAAAAGTTTATCTTAAAGAAACTTTGGAGTAAAAGATGTCTTTCGGAAGCTGAACTGTTAATACACCCTTCATTGAATCGCATTCACAAATTTATAAGTGATAGGGAAAACTTGTATGACACCCCAGCTAGTGACAGTGAGGAGGACGAAAATTACGAGGACATTGACATAGCATCAGAGGACTTAGGAGAGATCCAATTAGCCGGCACATCTTTAAACGTACATTTACCACAACCCTTAAACAATACAGTCTGTTACGTAAATCAGCCACCTTTAGCAAACAATATGAGAAAACCGAAAGAAAATTTACCATTAATTTCTACTGGTACATACCACGGTGTAGTCACGGAAAACCCCAGCGATTTCATAGATAAATACGAAATCGCAGCTCAATCAAACAATTGGCAGGAAACTTCAAAATTAAATTTATTCCCAGCCCACTTAGCGGGAACTGCACTCACTTGGTACCAACACTACATGAAAGGGAGATTAATTGATAGTTGGGATGAACTTAAAAACACCTTTATAAGTACATTCACACCCGTTGCACAAGCTCAAACAATTCAAAACATTTTGGATAAAAAAGTACAAGGGCAGGATCAGCCGGTGCTGACGTATTACTTAGAAGTACTAACACTATGTAAACGTCATGACCCCGAAATGCCGCACGTGTGGCATACAACAGTGGGAATTCAAGCAGCGTAAAAATAAGCTACATTTTACCGCGTGAAAAAACGCCCGTGTGGCCGTGGCCTTAAAAGAAGTGATTTACTCAAAATAGAAACTAGTAAAAAGAAACAGAACTTTGAAGGAACTTTTGTACAGAAAGTATTCTGATTAAGTATCAACAAGGAAAAATTGACCTATATTACCATTCCAAAATAATACTTAGCATTTAATTACTTGTTTTCAGTTAACCTATTTTGTAAGTGGAATAAATATAGTGCGTTATAGCATTTAAACTTTTAAAAATAAACATAAGTGTAAGTGTTATCTGTGATTTCTTTAAGTAGATGTTCTAGTTAAATCTTAGTGCCTTAAAGAAGTGAAAATAATGGTGCCTTGGAATAAAGATTTAACAGTAGTACATTCTGTCTCTTTACATACTTATACTTGGGTATTTTAGTGTTTTAATGTGTATTTTACTGTAGAATTTCTTCCAACAAGCATTTTCTAGCCTTAGGTAATTTTTTCATGTAATATTTTCACACAGTCAAAATGTTAAAATCAACTATAGATCTCACATACCACAGTAAGATAGTGTCAAGGTGTAGTATCAATGTACTGGTTGGGAAATTTATTTTGCTGCTATCAGTAATATCTAAAACAATGTACAAATTTTAAACGTATGTATGCGTTAAAGTCAACCAGCTGAAGAAAATTTTAAAGTTAGTTCCGTCATGGACTCGTTTTTGTTTACATTTGTTTCTTGTTACCTATATCAATACCGGTACTAGTTTTACCAAATTAAACTATCTAAGTGTAAACAATAGCTCTTCCTCTGGCTTAAAACCAAAATGTTTAGACCAAATCATAAAATAAGAGGAAAAACATTTCTTTGACACTAGCGCTCAGTGTCACCAAAATGAACTACATCAAACAAGCTTCAGATTCTACAATGGGATGAGAAGTCTACTTGTGTTATTTATTCTATGATTGATCCTTTTATTCCAAATGCTAAACTACTCAGGGCAAGTTTATAAGCTTAGCTGTCAAGTACGGCACTTAACTCCTGAATTTGACGTCATCAAAAGTCAAGATCAATACTATTGTGAGCACACTTGGATAGCGTTTACAGTCTCATTTCCTTCTAATGCCTTCTAATGCCGCAGGTGAATGGCGTGTAAAGTCACTGGATAAACTTTTTCCAGAGCATTTTAATAGCAGCTTATGAGCCAGTGCAGTAAGTACACTGGGCTAGTTTTTCAGCTGTGCGTAAAAAAGCTGGTGTGTAAACTCGGCCTGTACAATCGAGCCTTTGCTCAACTCTTTCTTAGCACGAGTCTATGGCGTGTATAGGAACATCCACGACAAATTACATCGGCTAAACAAATAATTTAGTCATTCTAAATAGTAAGATTTTAAACTATTGTTATTTTAGCTCTAATTTAACTAACAGAGAGTTAAATAATTAATTGTGATTTTTATTGATATAATTTTTCAACTGTTTTAAAAGAAAACACTAGCATGACTGTGTCATCGATCTCTATTATTATTACAACTGGATCGCGCGCTGTACTGCTCAGAGATGCACACGTATCGGTCCGCCGCTTCCCCCACCACGTAGTGTTGTTACTGTCTCTCTCTTACTCATTACGTCTTATGGCGATTCCGCGTTTGCGCTCACAAAATACGCTATATCTCTGTTCATAGTGGCTCGATTGTCAATTTGTTTACACAGTTGTA